GCAAAAGCCAGCTAAGATTTTCTGTTATCTCGCATGTTTCATCAATCTATTCACAACTAAATGCAGCACGTTTTTCTGAGATGAGGCATTTGTTTTTATATTAAAATATCTGAATTTATTAATATATAAATTCTTTAGGTACCAATGTTTTTGTAAGATATTTACATCAATCAAGAACACTCGGTAGACTGCTTTCCCATTGTTGTTCAATCCCAATACTTGTTTGTATTCAATTATGACAATGCATATTCATATTGAAACAAACTATGATAAAGGGGATAATATTACATAACAAAGGACAAGGTCACCAGAGTTCAACTATGTTTTTATTTTTTCACTTTAGGCATCGTTTCCAGGATAGCAGAGCGGGTTAACGGTACGACGGAAATATGTTTCGATGAGCTGGCGAAATTTTGTGATCAAGTAAGAACTAAGAATTTGATTGATATATTCGTTGGATATAACGGTCAAACAAATTACTCGTTTTGTTTCTATGGCACGTATTTTGAATTTATCACAAGTTTTATTAGTATATTATATTATATCCCATCTTAAATTTATGGGAGGACTAATCGAGAAAGGACATTGAAAAATAACCTCTAGATCGCTACCCTGTTGTATTACTCTTGTAGTTCTGCATACGATATGAAGTGGAAACTATAACTTCCATAATTTTTCCCTCCAACATTTCACTTCAAGATTTTGCATATTTATATGCATTTTGCTAGAATATCTATTTATTTTAAACCATAAATGACATAATTTTCTATTGCCTACAAGTCTTCATTATTCATTTTTATATATGTAAACATCAAAGCAAATCATGTGCGTGTTTTGTGTGTGATACGTGATGCAATATAGTTTACCAAATATGGCGATTTTGGGTGACACGTGACATAATGGTAATATGTATTTGATAAAAACATTATTACGACAACAACCGGTGTTCTTATTTGATTTCAGACTGACGTGGTATTCTTCAACTACTTATTAACGTTTATAGGTTGTCTCATCATCATTATCGGATTTGTAAGTTGACAATTTATTGTTGTATTTAGGTATAATCAATTACCACCAGTAGTCTCATTGGAAATTATTACAGTTTAACATTCTACATTTTTGCAATAAAATATAAATTGGCATTTTCAAGAAGGGTTTCACCGCGGTTGGCGCTCTCCATTTAGTACCGACATTGTATAATTGTTGTAAAACGTTTTTCCTTTCCTACAATTACGGAACCTGTTTAGATAGTTCCAAAATGTGGATAGAAGAAAAATATATTGTGCATGTCACTGGAAATGTCTTAACTCGGCACAAGTACGTAACTCACATAAAAACAGAAATGAAAAGAACATGTGCACTAGGGAAAATGTTACGTTTACATTCATATTTCGCTGAAATACTGGACATATGCTCATTGGCTCTCCAACGACAGTTCTGTGAACAACTATGTCCGTATTATAGCAACTTTGCAGAAAGGGGACTCGAATTGGAAATTGGTACACATGCGGTTTTCAAACAGATAGTTAAGATTAAGAATGTATGGTGTTAAAATAAAAAAACACACAATAAGGGTATCTTTTTTCCCCCAAAACGATAAGATAAACACAAAAATAGGTTTATTTTTCCATCTCCATGTTTTACTTTCTTTTGTGAATCTCCAGGTGAATCTGTATCGTTTCGCATCATACATAACATTTAGAAATCTGTGGTATTCCCTCGCAAACATTGGTTGCTTTTGATGGTGTAGGATGGATTATTTGTTGGCAAATGTTTGTACCCATTTAGAGGCCTTTTTTAAAGCAATCATTTGAGCATGGATACGAGTGTTCCAATTCGAATGCTACCCCTTGGACCAACTTCTGTCTAACCATGACCAAACTAGCTATGTGGCCACCGTCAGGTTGGGATTACCACTGCCACACATATTCCCCACACATAGGCCTGACGTGACCAATTGTGCCAACAAAACGATATTTGAATGCTTATCTTCGAACCGCTTTAAACACTATTTACTCAAGGTAAATCAGTCAGACTGGCGATGAGTCAGGATATGCATATGAATCTATTATCTAGTCTACGTAATTCACTAGTTTTAAAAATTGTCTTTCAGATTCATTTCCTAATGTGTTTGTCAGCCAACTATGCTCACCTCAGCCATGGAAGATCATCGTCCACAAAATACAAACAGAAACAGGAAATTGTTGACGAGGAGAATAGGTATCAGATGAAGACATTCAGTCATGATATCACAGAGGGGGACAGGGGTGATATACCGCCGCCACCGACGGTCACGCCGACACCACCGCCGTCAGAATACAATAACGCTGCTAGTACACGTGATTCGTATGATCTCAAACAAAGATACTTTTAATAACTTATCAAGTTCATAACAATTGCCCATCTGAATTATTACCAGGGTAGCATTAATTTTAATGGGATAAATGATTTCTCTCTAACTACCACATGTCTACTTCCGAAGCATTATAACTTTCACTGGAGGGAGGGCACTATGACACTTGTATACATTGTTCATATTGAATGCATTTCTTACCATCAGTTACCTGCCAAGTCTCGCAACTTGTATATCAATTTTGACAATCACGATTGTGATTAAGCGTATATATCTTGGATTGTCTGCCAGTAAAAAAAAGAGATTTTTTTTTCAAATGATAAATGACTACAAAACTAAGAACATTTGTCACTTCAAGCGACTTCTTTTAAAGGCATATTCTATGAATGTGGGTCGATTTAACAAACTGGCTGTGCTTCTAATACCCAGGACGATTCATTGAATGTAACCATGAATCAACACAGAGTACCATCACACACAACAAAAGATAAAATATCAATAATTTCTAATGCTTTTCAAAGTCTTGTTACTAGTTATCAGTTAGAATTTAGTTCCTGTACAGTATATCTGCCGTAGAACGTTTTCATTGCCAAGAGGTTTATTTCTGCTGGAAATACGAGGCTGAAAACAATTCCCTTTCCCTGCTTTTCTGAATACATCATATATTAACTAATACTAAATTTTCAGCACTGTAAACAACTTTAGTAGTTTTGGTGAACTTTGCAAGACTTTGCAAATACTTTTTAGTGAGCACTTCAAATCATCAAAACACACGAGTTGATATCAAAAAGAAATACAATCATTTATAGCACTTCATACACACAAGTATCTGAACACCTGATAATTGATCTTATGCTGGTAATTTTGTTATCAAAATACGTTATCAAACTCAAAAGGGATCTGAATTGTCAATGTAATATTAGTATTTTAATTCATCTTATAATCAAAGAATATTCAGCTCAGTAACGGGAGTTAACAGGAAATACAAACAGTGCATACCAATGTAATTGAAAATAATGTCATTTTATTTTAAACACTCTTATAAGCATTAACATACATTACATATTCACATTAAATTTAATCAATAATAATTTATTTTCAAAATTCATCTTGTATCAAATGAAAATAATTAATTTAAGTTAAAATAAGTTTATGTTTATGCACTTGGCATATGCATCCCACTCCTCCCTAGCATGAACATTTCATACAAGTCCTAATATCTACAGGGACTTGAAAACATGGACCATCTATTTTATCTTAGTGTCCCAGGGTCATCAATTATTATCGCTAACAAAATGTTTTTGATTTCAACATTCAAACAGCATGACATGTTTTATGCAAAGTAAGCCAGCTTGGGAGAGCTATTGATTGTTGTATTATTACCAAGTTAGCAAATAAGCTCAATGAAATAACATAAGAAGTAACAAAAATTTACAGAAATTATGAACAATTCACACAAAAATATATGTAATATCAGTAATATCCCCTCTTAACAAAATAGTTTAGTCCATCCACATTTTGAACCCCATTACCTCCTATCTACAAAGTGATACTGTCCTTGATGTGTTTTACATTTATTTTACAGTATAAGTATTAATATTATTTACTGTATGTATGTATGTATATAATTATCATTGTTTTTAGTATTGGAAATAAAACTCTTTCTTTGTTATACACATAGTTACTTATTTCATTAGTCCAATTTAACACAAGTCTGACCTCACATCTGCCAAATCTTCCTGAATCAAGTTTAATAGTGTGTTTCAAAGTGTAAACAAAGGAAAAACTGCATTTACCACTGGTATTCTGTGTCATTAAAATATGACTTGTGATCAAAGACAAAACTCTGTAATTTACATAAGCTAATATATTATTAAGAGAGTAAATACACAGTATATGTACTACTCTAGTCTGACAGAAGAACTAATTGTACTCACATTGTAATCAAATCAAATCAAATCATTGAAAATGCCAGTTATACATAATCAAAACATGATGCTGTAATCATCATGAAGTTTTCCTTGACCTGACCACGACTCAACAGAGTACCAACTACAAACAACAAAAGATAAAATATCAATAATTTCTAATGCTTTCCAAAGTCTTGCTACAAGTTATCTTCGTTCCATCTGTTGTTCAGATTAGATTTTCTGGATGTAAATGTCACAGTAATAGAATGTGAATGAATGATACAAGTTTTAGTATTCCTTCATTTCACCAATCATCAAATGTATTGTCAGATGTAGCACCAAGACTGAAAGAAAGAAATATTACAAGTATTAGAAAAATTATACAATCAAAGAACTTGCTAAGTAAAAGATGAAAATAATATTAAACAGTGGTTATTTAGACATTCAAAACATGAAAGTTGTTGGTTAAAACCACCAAAGGACGACACCCACAACTATCCACTCATGTATTGGGCACACCCACACTTATGCACCCACTCATGTATTGGGCATACCCACACTTATGCACCCACGTATTGGATACACCCACAAATATGCACCTATGTATTGGACACACCCACAAATATGCACCCATGTATTGGACACACCCACCAATATGCACCCATGTATTGGACACACCTACAAATATGCACCCATGTATTGGACACACCCACAAATATGCACCTATGTATTGGACACACCCACAAATATGCATCCATGTATTGGACACACCCACAAATATGCACCCATGTATTGGACACACCTACAAATATGCACCCATGTATTGGACACACCCACAAATATGCACCTATGTATTGGATACACCCACAAATATGCATCCATGTATTGGACACACCCACAAATATGCACCCATGTATTGAGCACACCCACAAATAATGCACCCACCATGTACACAGATCACTGGATATTAATCAAATTTTACCTTGGAATTTCTTCTTCAATTGAAATAGAATGATCTGGTGATGCAGTTTTCTCCTGTTCCTTTGTGAAATAAAAAAAAAATGTTATTACCAGTAAATACCACTCAATATGAGGTAATTAACACAGCTTTTTATTTCAAACAAGTCAATTTTACTTTTTTCTCTTCTTTCTTTTTCTGTACCATCTGCATATACTTCTTCATAACTGGGTCAATATTGGCATCACTATCATCATCATTCTTTTTATCTGTCTTTCCTTCCTCATCTTTTTTCTCTTCTCCCGATGCTACTTTTTCATCACTCCCTTGACCTGTCACTGATGTCTGGTAATCGCCCTTCTCCAACTGCAAGCATACAGAGAGATGAATAACATTCATTACTAAAAGTGACAAGAGAACAGTGATTCAAGCATCAAGGCTCTCAGAGAATTGACTAATTTTCATAGCAATATAATATGTTTATAATCTCTATTATATTTTTTGTTATGGTATCCCACAATATTAAAAGTATCATATATGATGTACAAGACTGACAATCTTACCTGTTGTTGCCTTTCTAGTTCTTCTAATTCCCTTTGTTCCCTCTCCCAAGCTTCTTGCTCTTTTCGTTTCCTGTCTTCCTCTTTTTGTTTTCTTTCTTCCTCCCACTTCCTCTCATCTTCCCTTTCTTTTTCCAGTTCTAAAATATTCATGACAAAAATTAAAATAAATAGAAGTTTAGAAATATGTAACATGGAAGAACTTTGGATTTGAAAAGATTAAATAAACACTACTATATTAATAAAGCATACAAACCTTGTTCAGATTTAACTTGACCTTTCCACTCTGTATCTAGTGATGTAACTTCATGTTTCCAGGCAGCATCCAGAGACACGACTGGTTGTTGATGTTCAGATCGTTCAGATTTACTTGACTCCCAGTCATCATCATAGGACGTCTCTTTTTTTAGTCTAGGACTGCTCTTAGCACTTGAAAACTCAATCTGCTCTTCCTGCTTCTCTTCATCTTCAACAACATCATGAGGTAAAGATGAGGATTTCCATGCATCACCTGTTAGCAACAGATCATTGTTATCTTTCTTCACAGACGGCGAATGATAACCACCTGTCTTTGGTAATGGTCGCCTTGGTGATGACACAGACAAAATTGGTTCCACCTCAAGAGGTTTACTTCTAAGACTTGGCAAAGGAGATGTAGAGGACTTCTCCGTTGGACTTGTCACTAAAAAAATTATGAACACATAGACGATTAAATTTAAATTAATTTCTTGGGGTGAATTGGCAGGAAATTGTATGATAATTACCGGTAAATTATACTCAGAAATAACATGAACAGTTGTGAGCCCAGGAGAATTAACAAAATTAACAAAAATTGTTTTCATTCAAAAGGGAAATAGCTTAGGCTGGCAGTGTCATTTATCACCCATTAAGAGAACTGAGTAAAATTCAGAAATGTTCCATTGGATTTACTCTAAGATATATGGGCTAAGGATTGTGGGACAGACCAGGTTGCCTTGGTAATGGGAAGAGCCATTTTGGATTATGTTTATATTCCTATTACTTATCACAGTAGGTAATCTATTGAATGTGTTTCAGAATGTGTTTAAAAATAAATTAATCGTTTGATCATGTGATCTATCAGACCCAATCACATCACTGATTTTACAAGTGATCTATCAGACCCAATCACATAACTGATTTCACAAGTGATCTATCACACCCAATCACATCATTGATTTCACAAGTGATCTATCAGATCCAATCACAGCATTGATTCACAAGTGATCTATCACACCCAATCACATCATTGATTTCACAAGTGATCTATCACACCCAATCACATCATTGATTTCACAAGTGATCTAACACACCCAATCACATCATTGATTTCACAAGTGACCTATCAGACCCAATCACATCATTGATTTCACAAGTGATCTATCACACCCAATCACACCATTGATTTCACAAGTGATCTATTACACCCAATCACATCATTGATTTCACAAGTGATCTATCACACCCAATCACATCATTGATTTCACAAGTGATCTATCACACCCAATCACACCATTGATTTCACAAGTGATCTATCACACCCAATCACATCATTGATTTCACAAGTGACCTATCACACTGAATCACACCATTGATTTCACAAGTGATCTATTACA